TTTTTTTTTTTTTTTGTGGGATTTTTTAATCTTGTTGGGATTTTGGTTTGGAAATGAGAGAGAATTAAAGAGGAAAGTTTTAGAGGAAATTGAGGACTGTTTTTCTTTTTTGCTTTAGCCTGAGAAAATGCAGAGTGGTGAATGTGTATTTATAAGCAGAACAAGTGGAACCTGTGGAAGTGGAAGGAGAAAATAGAGATTTCTTAAAAGGGGAAGTCGAAAAGTTAAAAAGAGAAGTCGAAAAGTTAAAAAGAGAAAATAGAAGTACTTTTTTTCCATCCCGTTTAGCCATAAATATAAATCTACCGTATTTGGCTAGTCCAATATTTTAGATTTTTATAAATTGAGAATCTTTCTTTCTCGTTCAGCAACATACACAATGTAACCATATGAGGTTTGAGAGTCGTGTTTAGGGGGAGAACTTTATGAGACAAGTGTTAATGTGTCACTTGTATTTGCATATTCGTGAGGTTGTTCTCTTGATATTTTGTACTCTCTTTTATATAGTGGATTGCTCATCTCCGCTGTAGATGTAGGTCGATTGACCGAACCACGTTAAATATTTTGTGTCTATTTTGATATATTTCTCTTTTGTTATTTGATATATCGTCATTCAAGTGTTGCTTTACTAGCTTCCGCTTGATTCCTATTTTCTCAATCCTAACAAAAAGGTGTAGATTAATGTTCAATAAAGTGGGTGAAACAGAGACAAAAAATTACTGGGTAATTATTTTTTTCTGATCTTTCTAAGATTGGGCATGCAAAATTATTCAGTCCATGTGTTGGTGCGAGATAATAGTACCGATAGAACGTCTATTACATCCCAGAAAAGTCCCACATCGGCTAAACATGGGAGAGATAATAAGTATATAAGGAAGTAAGCCTTAGTGACGCTTTTAAAGTTGTACTGACCTATGCCCAGAGCGGACAATATCACTAGTAGACTGGACCGTTATATATGGTATCGGAGACACTCCGCATGCAATCTTGGACGATTGGGGCAAACGCGAGGACACCAAATCCCTAAAGGGGGTGTTTGTGATAGCCCCAAGCGAATTCCACATCGTCAAAACACATGAAAGATGCAAGGTACAAGAAAGCAAGCCTTAAACCTTAGTGTCGCATTTTAAAGTGGTGTCGACTTAGGCCCAAAGTAAATAGTATCACGGGTGGAGTGGGCTGTTACGCAGTTGACGTGCATACAATTGATCCGCATACTACCATCATATAAAAACCGAAAAAGGTCAAAATATGCTTCGAACTATGTGAAATTAAGCGGATTTGCATGTCGTTAATACTGTGGCACATACATGCTCTCTGTCATCCAATACTTGCTCCAAATATACTCTTATTTTAAAAGGCCCTATATGGAGAGTATATTTGGTCCCACACGTATACTTTGAGGGTATATTTGGCCCGTTAAAGTTCAAGCTTTTCTGTAATTGAGTTATCTTGTTTGGTTTTTGGCAATATAATGAAAGTTTCTAATGATAAAATTTCCTTCAAACTGATTGTTTTCCTTTTGTAAATCTTAAATACAAACAAAAATAAGCAAAATGTAGAGAAACATAAATCACTTGTTGGAACAGTTATATCAATAAATGTCTTTACGACTTCATATGCCTCAAAATACCACTAAATAGTGTCACGCCCCGACTTGGGCCTGGATGTAACACGACACCCGGTGCTTGACTACATGTGACCGAGCGAACCAACTGGCTGACTGAATCAATATGTGATATAATAACATATTGAATGCGGAGGATAAACTAACACATGCTGATATACTAAGAGTGTGGATGATATAAATCAAAGTACGGAAATACTAATAGAATTCTGAAACATATTTGTAGCCAATATAGCTTAATATGAAAAGCCTACAACTCTGTCTAGCTGTTACTCTAGTCTATGAAGCCTCTAATGAAGTATTAAAAACACTGACTGTCTGAAAATACTGAAGACTGTAAGATAATGATAATGCCCCGAAAGAACTGGGGATCACCAAATAGCTGGTACGAGAATCCTAGCATTCTGAATCGTCAACCTGTAAATCATTACCTGCATCGTGAGATGCAGGCCCTGGGCAAAAGGGATGTCAGTACATTTAAATTGCACTGATATGTAAAGCAACCGAAAGAAAGAATTATAAATGTTAAAACTGAAACAAAGCTGATAACTGAGAATTGATAATTGATAACTGAAATGATAGCTTTTGAAATTGAAACTGAAATGATAACTGATAACTGAAATGATAACTAATAATTGAACTGAACAAAGGAAGCAAGGATATGAATACTCCCTCTTCTGAATGATGAACAACCTGTTTATCTGAATAAGCTACGGTTTCGGGCCCAATATATATGTGCACAAACTACGGCCTCAGGCCCAAGTATACGTATACATAACTACGGCCTTAGGCCCAAAATGCATAAAGCATAAACTACGGCCTCAGGCCCAAGTATGCATACAACATATAAACTACGGTCTCAGGCCCAAATACAGGTGTTCAACATTCAGGGATTTAAATTCAGGAATTAAGATTCATACTGCAATATGTGATACTGAAATACTGAATCATATTAAGTTACATGATACCGAAATACTAAATAGGACTAGACTGAGACATGTATTCTTGAACTGATTATGAAAACTGAAACTTCAATTATTTATGACATGCTGAGAAATCTAGACTAAGACTCATGGGCATCAAACCCAAGTCTATATTGATTATGCATTAAGCTCACAAAGTTCAGAATGAAAGTCATGAATGAGTTATGATGCTAGATAATAGAAGTTCTGCAATTATTCAAGGAATATGCTTAACTATATTTCTGAGGAAATTAGTAATGTCCTAAAAGAAACGTAGTGTAGGGAGAATTATTAACATTCCCAAACATAGAGAGTTAGTCTCACATACCTTAACTTCCTGCTCTTGAGCGTAATACAACATTCGCCAATCCTTTCAACTTTAATCTATATTAATACAAGTCAAAGGGATTCCATATTAGCAATACTACTCATATTTTGTTCATTTAGGCATTTTCTTAAACACTTGATGGCATAAAGCTTTATAGTCCTTATTAATAGTGTTTCTGTCACGACCCTAAACCCAGACCCGATCGTGATGGCGCCTTTCATGAAGACAAGGCCAACTGACACTTTCTCATTTCAGTTTTAAGCAATTAAACAATAAGAATTAAGTCAAAAATGTAGTAAATAACCCAAAAGTAAGCAATGAACATTACAATTTGCGGAAGTAAAACCCAACACAGCCCGATACCAGGGTGTCACTAGTCATGGGCATCTATCGATACACCTACAAGTTTGAAATGTCTACCAAGCTATTACAGAATAACTGAGAAAGAGGAAGAAATGAGATAAAGGGGGAGAAGCACGGGACTGCGGACGCCAAGCAGCTACCTCGTGAACTCCAAAATCTGCCGGGAGCTCTCAACCCTCGCTGGCAGGATCAGCAATGCCTGACTATGTACACGGGGTACAGGGAGTAAAGTGAGTACTCCGACTCAGTGAGTAATAATCATAAATAAAGACTGAAAGCAAGAAATCACGTAAGGCACATTATAGGCTATACGGAAGCAGTAAAAGCCAGTAAAAACAGTGACACAGTGATAATGTGTAAAGTCATTTTAATTCAGTTCAAACTTCATGAAATGCCTTTTTAACAATTAGGCAGGTAAATGATAGACAAATAAGACAGATAAGCACATAAAGGATTGTTCCTCGGGCACAATGTCAACAATACCAGCCCCTCGGGCTATATCTCACATCACAATGGGTACCCATGCTCACTGGGGGTGTGCAGACTCCTGGAGGAGCCCCTTACGCCCCAAGCGTAATATCAAGCCACCTTTTGGCATTATCACTAGGCCCTCGGCCTCATATCAACAAGCCATCTCGTGGCGTATAAATCTCAGGCCCTCGGCCTCATAATCATAATTAGTGTTTCCTCACAACATAGGCCCTCGGTCTTACTCAGTCAGAATCTCAAAGCCACTCGGGCAACAGTAAAACATAGTGCTCAGCCCAAAATATCAATTAAAATATCATTTAAGTGTTAAAGCAGAGTAAACATGGCTGAGTTATGAAAAACAATAGAATATAGCATGGCTGAGTTCAAGTATAAAGTCAAAACAGTGAGGAAATATCAATAAAAATCCCCTAAGGGTTCAAATAGTTAGCACGAAGCCCAAATATGACATTCAGCCCAAAACATGATGATAGCAAATAATTTTCAGTCAAATACACGGTAAAATAGTTATTTGGGATGGACTAAGTCACAATCCCCAACAGTGCACGACCTCACGCTCGTCATCTAGCATGTGCGTCACCTCAATATAGCACAACGATGTGCAATCTAGGGTTTTATACCCTTAGGACATCATTTACAATCATTACTCACCTCGATCCGGTCCAAACTCTAGCCCGTGATGCCTTTTCCGTCACGAATCGACCTCTGAATGCTTAAAATCTAGCCACAATTAGAACATAACTATTAAAATATACTAAGGGAACAAAGCCCACTTGAAAATATCCCATTTACATCAAAAATCCCAAAATTTCTCAAACCCGGCCCCCGGGACCACATCTCGGAATCCAACAAAAATCATATCAATATAATCTTCATCCTCCCACGAGTCTATACATATCAAGAACATCAAAATCGGACCTCAAATGGCCCCTCAAATCCCCACTCAAAGGTCTCTTAATCTCAAGCCCTAATTACCCATCTTTGCTACTGATTTTCCATGGATTTCAAGCTTACAAATGTTAAAATTCATCATAGAAATAAGTTTAGGGTCCAAAAATCATACCTCCATGAAACCCTCTTGAATTCCCTCTTCAATTAGCTCTCCAAAGCTTTCTCCCAAATGAAATATGGTGAAAACCCACTCAAAATCACGAAGGGAACCTTTTATACTTTCTGACCCAGGCATTTTCGCACCTGCGGTCCATTTCCCGCTTCTGCGGTATCTCTTCTACGACCAAATCCACCGCATCTGCGGTTTTCAATAAATTGCCCATTTCCGCATCTACAATTAAAAGCTCGCACCTGCGCTATCGCAGGTGCGCCCACTTCACCGCTTCTGCGGTTCCTGAAGAACTTCCTCTTGGCCG